TCTAGTAAAATCATGAATAAGGAATTCTATACGTACATGCAGTGACTGAAAGCTGAAGGTATGGAAGGTATTCTCGTTGCTGTCTGTGGGGAAATATATATCTGTGTTTGTGTCATTACATATGTTTCCAAAACTCCAAGGTCTTTAGCAAATGTTGAACAATAGACAACAAATATGTATTGTCCATGTATGTTATATATATGTAAATATTCATCTTTATTAAAGTTTGAGTATATGAAAGCATGTACTTCACTTCACAGAGTAAGCGACACATCCCGATTGGCTAGAGTATATGTAACCAATCAACTGGATGTGTCCTTAACACAGCACTTAGTTCGTGTTTGCACAAGTTTTTCAACAATTCCTTCAACATCTTTCAGTTGTAGCAAGTTGCACTCGCATTAACAAAGACTATTGACTGAGCAGTGGGCAGTGAGACTATGTTTAATAGATGATATCTGCTTTTGGAACTCTTTTACCTTGAGCGTGCTTTCATCAGAGATGCGCATTGTTCATAGAATTGAGTTTTGTGTTATTAGAATATTATTCTGAATATTAGAGGGAATATGGAACATCGTGTGTATACAATACAGTGTCGTTCTGTATATAGTTGTTGAAGAAAAATTGGAGGTCTTCTAAGGTCTTGTTACTTTTGTTTGTTTCTATGGATACCAAATATTCAATATTTACATATATACCGTGGAATAATGATCCATAGATCACATAGTGATGTACATCGCAATATTGCATTGAGCATTATTTAGTCACATAATGGTGTGTCAGTGAGCGAGGACAGATCTGGTGAAGCAGGTTGTAGTAGTTATCACGTTATTTAAACAACTAGTCAAACAAGGTGAGCGAGTGCGAGTTTAGTTTTACGCCGCACTCAGCAATATTCCAGCTATATGGAGGCGGTCTGTAAATAATCGAATCTGAACCAGACAATTCAGTGGTCAACAGCATGAGCATCGATCTACGCAATTGGGATACGATGACATGTGTCGACCCAGTCAGCGAGCCTGACCACCCGATCTCTTTAGTCGCCTCTTACGACAAGCACGGGTTACTGAAAATCAATTCTAACCCGGATTTCCACGGGTCCCAGCATGGTGAGACAGGGTAGAGATCATAGTAGGAAGAATCTAGGATTCGAACCCATTACCAGGTGTTCAGTTTAGCTTTCAGGGGCAACAGAGGCTGTGTTGCCGCCTCTTTTAGCAACATTACAGCAATGTCTTGAAACGACAAACCTGACATGGACTTCACTCAATGTATGTGGGGAATAAAGCACTCACAAACACTGTAACACTGACAAACACTGTAACCACTGTAACACTGACAAACACTGTAACCAATGACAAACACTGTAACCACTGTAACCACTGTAACACTGACAAACACTGTAACCATTGACAAACACTGTAACCACTGTAACACTGACAAACACTGTAACCACTGTAACACTGACAAACACTGTAACCACTGTAACACTGACAAACACTGTAACACTGACAAACACTGTAACCACTGTAACACTGACAAACACCGTAACCAATGTAACCACTGTAACACTGACAAACACTGTAACCATTGACAAACACTCTTACCACTGTAACACTGAAAAACACTCTGCTACCACTGTAACACTGACAAACACTGTAACCACTATAACCCTGTAACCACTGTAACCACTCACAAACACTGTAACCACTGACAAACACTGTAACCACTGTAACCACAGACAAACACTGTAACCACTGTAACACCGTAACCACTCTAACCACTGTAACACTGCAACCAATGTAACACTGTAACACTGTAAATACTGACAAACACTATAACCACTTAAACCACTGACAAACGCTGTAACCACTGTAACCACTGACAAACACTGCAACAACTGTAACTGCTGTAACACTGTAACCACTGTAACACCGTAACCACTGTAACACTGTAACCACTGACAAACACTGTAACCACTGACAAACACTGTAACCACTGTAACACGGTAACTACTGTAACACGGTCACCACTGACAAACACTGTAACACTGTAACCACTGACAAACACTGTAACCACTGTAACACTGACAAACAAACACTGACAAACACACCACTGTAATGTAACACTTGACAAAACTGTAACCACTGTAACAAACACTGTAACCACTGTAACACTGTAACACTGTAACCACTGGCAAACACTGTAACCACTGTAACAATGTAACACTGTAACCACTGGCAAACACTGTAACCACTGTAACAATGTAACACTGTAACCACTGACAAACACTGTAACCACAGACAAACACTGTAACCACTGTAACACCGTAACCACTCTAACCACTGTAACACTGCAACCAATGTAACACTGTAACCACTGACAAACACTGTAACCACTTAAACCACTGACAAACACTGTAACCACTGTAACACCGTAACCACTGTAACCACTGTAACCACTGACTAACACCGTAACCACTATAACACTGTAGCCACTGACAAACACTGTAGCCACTGTAACCACTAACAAACACTGTAACCACTGTAACACGGTAACCACTGTAAACACTGTAACCACTGATAAACACTGTAACCACTGACAAACACTGTAACCACTGACAAACACTGTAACCACTGTAACAATGTAACACTGTGACAAACACTGTAACCATTGACAAACACTGTAACCACTGTAACAATGTAACACTGTGACAAACACTGTAACCACTGTTACACCTGTAACCACTGTAACAATGTAACCACTGTAACACTGTAACCACTGTAACACCGTAACACTGTAACCACCGTAACACTGTAACCACTGTAGCACTGTAACCACTGTAACCATGTAACACTGTAACCACTGTAACCATGTAACCACTGTAACACTGTAACCACTGACAAACACTGTAACCACTGTAACAATGTAACCACTGTAACACTGTAACCACGGCCCACTCGCCCACACCCCCTGGCGCTCCTCCAACATCAGGATGACACAAGCTGATGTAACTGGAATACTGTTCATGGGAACGTTAAACCGAACTCACTCACGTATCCTAGCAGCCAACAGATATTCACGTCGCACTGACCAGATAGGATGTTGTATGGTCCAAGTCTATACTGTACATTAGCCTTTCTGCTTCATATGTACCATTAGGTAGACACAGTTTACTTACACTTAAACTCAAACATATTCTCTCCCATTCAGCTGAAGTAATTACACGTACTGAAGATGGTACTACGCCATATTCAATTAGAACACGACCAGAAGACTTGGAATCAGTTTACATAATGGCGGTAGGCACGACACAGAACTTATCTATAGATAGTCTGGTATCGTGTGTGCGCCCAATGTAAGACTCCTCTTCTGTTTTAGTTGGACAGGCAAAAATCTCGTTTAAGGCTTTGTTGCATTTTAATCCAAAATCTCGTATACTGCGTCTGCTTTTAGCAGAGATTTCATAAGATAATATGGTAAGGGTTTTGTGGCTTCTACCACGCACCAGACTCAGGCCGGCATTGGTGTTAGTCATACTGGGTCCCTGATTGTCTCAGCCGAAAGCGGGACAATAGATGCTACGGGATTAATATCGTTACTTGGGTGGCTTGGGTCGTTGTTTTAATTAGGATTATAGAACATGTGTATGTTCAGTGACCTAGGGACTGACTGTGTACTAGAGACGTCATGTGACTCTGGTGGTTCTGCTAAATGATTCAACAGATTAAAGCCATTTAACCACGATTCTATGTCTCTATACTTGTGTTTACTGACTTGCGTCAGTCAGTTATGCTTGTTAAAGTTTTGTTTAGAATGGTCTGTGGATTCTTAGCTCTGAATCTACTGCAACTGCAGTATGGGGCCTGATAATGTTTTAAAGTTTAAGAGTGTTTCATTTTCAGATATGTACATTACAACAATCTGTACACAATAGAATAGAAACAAAACAGTCGGTGTTAGAATTGGAATGCCCCTGCCACAAAACCCAGCACATTCACATTTCTGTCCAGGACGCCCTACCATCCAGATATAAGTACAGTTGTGACTATCCTCAAGTCCCACTACATAGACAAGTGGTGCCTGCAGTGAATTGTCGACCGTTGATCCATAGTGTTAGGGTACGATCTCTCACAAAGGGTACAGATTACAGGTGAACAGTTTGCTCAAAGGGATCAAAGTATAATCGGTAATGAACAAAATTAATATAATTGTACCGTTTCGGATTGTTAAAAAGATTAATTTAAAAAAAAAAATAAATTTAAAATTAAACACCGGCTGAAAAAACATTAAACGTCTACTGCCACCCTGCTCTTATCGGTAACAATTGGATCTTATTGAAATCAAATACGGTCTTTACGTTCACACAAAGAATGAGTATTTATCAAACAAATACAAGCAGATTTTAATGAGGCGGTTTCTCCAGAATCCGATAAAAATACCACATGAGGACATGCAGTGTGTATATGTATAGCACACGCTGGCCCGGATTTCAAAATGGAAAAGGGCAGTTTTTGGACTTTGGATGAGATCTAAATTGAACCACTGTGTCATAAGAAGTTCAGTTCAATCAATCCATTGTTGACATTCCATTTAAATTAATTCATTGTTGACACGTTGTTTGCTTTAAGAAAGAGATTTCAAGAAATTAGAATATACGTTAACCGCGTGCATGTGTTTGAGCGTGAGCGCACGTGTATTTGTTTGTGTTACTTCATGCCGTGTTTGATCGCTATGTGTTGTATCATACCATCGTAGAGTACCATTTATCAACGCGCTAGCACCAACTCAATACGGCACTGCTGATACCATATTTGATCAGTTCCATGCAAATATTCCCTATGGAGTCAAGCCATTATTACACATCCGCCATTCCATAATTGTGCATATTTACAATACCTCTCTCTAAAGAGTGACAAAAACACCATATCACATGAAGTTTACCATAATGTCAATACTTGGCTATAGACGTACACGGTAATGAATAACTTTGTACTCACCCACAGCGGATGGTGTGGAGGCGACGAGCTGGAGGTGCAGTATCCCCACGGTGAGGCAGAGGAGGGATCGCATCCTGCCGCACCCCATGGTTTAGCTGCCCGGGGGACACGCTCATAGATCGTTAGACGTTGGTTGTATTGGGCAACCGTTTCTTTACCTTTTCATCTGTCATGAATGAAAGGAAACATTAGCTGACAAAAACGTTCCACGTTTCTCACAACGCGAGTATTTGACCTTGACCAGATCCTGGCCATGTAAAACAAACAAAAAACTGCTGACCATGACGACCTTGACCTTGATCTGATGTGACCTCCAATCCATACCAATAGCCATTGAATAATAACTATTCAACTTGAATATCAATTAAACAGCAATTAAATTAAATGTTCAGTTGAAAAAATCGATAGAAGTGGTTGTAGACACAAAGTGCAACTCTTGCCTTGAAACGCCATTGTCGTCACGCCGATACTCCGAGGACTTGCGGCAGAACATTGCAAGTGACCGTGACATGTGACAGGTTATGAACATACTGTGCAACAATTGTGACCGATCGATACACATTTCAGCCCGAGCCTGTAGACGTAAGATAACACCAGCCTCTGTTATGCTAAACATACCCCGGGCCGGGATCGGTTCCTACACCCAGGGGTAATCTGTACATTGAACGTACAGAACGTGTGGAGTGGCATGAAAATCTTTGTGAGTAATGATCGATTCTCGTCGGGCGATTCACATAAAAACAGTTACTGGTCCTCCATGTCAGGCTTATGAACCCTTATGATAAGCCAAACTGTATTAATGCAGGAACTAGCGAGTATGAACTCTCAATGAGTGAGAGCCAAACTGTTTGAAGCTTGCGACAATGGCTGGTTACCGCGACAAAGGGTGACATTTTGGAGTCCCTCCTTACTCCCACCGGGCGTGTAGGAGGGAATATAAGTAAGTGTCAAGAAGGAATGACAGTCATTTTGTGAAACATGGAATGTTGCGTATGGTCAGTCAGAAACTGAGATGGTTCAGTTTTACATTCCTGTCTGAAAGAGGATAGATCGTCCAGATTAAAGCGTTTAAATGATCATATTCAACGGTTCTGTGTTCATTCATATCAGGGAATTGCCAGGTTGTTCCCCAGGAATGTGGAAGTAGTCCATCACTGATTGTTTAAGCATGAGATTAAAGTCTTATATCCAAATGTTTCAAATTCAAACTGACATTTTGTGACCTTAGCGCATCTATGCTGGCACTACTGTCCTTCCAGCATGATGGATTACGTCATAATGTCACCGAGTAAAATTATATTGTTAGGGGAATTGGACAATTAGCATCATTACAGCATTTATCTATAATGTCGCCCATAGATCACGAAGATGGCGGGTTATGCACTCGCGTAAATGTATTTCTAACTCTTGAGTTCTGCAAATATCTAAATGTCTGAGCAGCCGACACTTCATATGTCTTTCCGTTTGACCCCGGGGTTGGCTATTGATGTGACTATTTGTGACAGTTGAACTATCTATCCATATAACACTCGGATATCTGTCGATACACCTGGTCGTCGGCCTATCGATGTCACTGTTGTGTTGTCTGCAAATATGGCTGACCATCTACCGAACTGTTTATTCTTTTAAGCTGTCAGTTCATTCACGCGTAAACAGCGATGTGACTGTTGAGATGTATTTCCAATTATCTATGTTCATATTTCTCGCCATCTAAAGAGGTGTACAACTCACCTGTATGTAGCCGGTAAAGCGTTCACTATTTTATAGGTGCCAATCGTTCTGCTTGCCATGCTATAGGTTCAACTTTGTCCAGTGTTGGAGAACAGCAATGTAACAAAATCTTTGTAAACAGAAACAATTTCTGGCTACTTAGTAGCCTTGTCACAAAGTCAAAAGATCCGTAACTACTATTGTCCAGGTTTGACACTTGACGTCACATTTCTCTCAGTTAATGCCTTCAGAGCAAGTATTCAGTGAACCTGTCTCAGAATCACGATGTCCAGCAGACGACACCTTCCCATCGCAGCAGACGACACATCTCAATTGGAAGCAGGCGTTCAAGCTCATGGCCATAACCACAGGCTTAGCGGTTCTGTCAAGTCAGTTACCATAGCAATGAGATAAACAGATTCTCTAGGGGAAAACAACTTTGTTTTCCAAAAACTACTGAGAACGCGAGAACATTTAAAGACAATACCTTCATTAAAGTCGTGTTTTGGACTAACAATACATATTTTACCGCATATAATGGAAATCGAATATTGCAACATATCATTAAGGGCCTAGAGTTATATCGTTTCTGAAGAAAATATAACCTATTTATTCTTGTAAACCCTCACTGGTAGAAATATTTAACAAGACATTGATTATCGATCGTTGATTTACCATAGTCAATGTAAATATTCCTGATGACATTTGTTAAACATACACACATAGATATACTTATATGTAGTTATGGAGGACTGTCGTGGATGGTGTATTGTTCGGAAGAAAGAGTGCATTTGCTTGAATTTTCTTTTTACGTTACACAAAAGGAAAGGCGAGTTAAGGTCCCGACACGGTGGAGATGAACACATCTAGCGATGTGGATGATGCGTGTGTGACTGCTCTGCTTGTTTGGATTTCATTTCACAGTGCTCGTCGCAACTAACATGGATATCTTAAAGACATGAAACCGAGTCTGGGCCTCCCAGTTCATTGTCTTGAACGCCAGGTAGACCAACAGGAGCCACCGCCTACGTCCTTCTTCATGAAGCGGCCAGGTAGACCAACAGGAGCCACCGCCTTCGTCCTTCTTCATGAAGCGACCAGGTAGACCAACAGAGACCAACGCCTACGTCCTTCTTCGTGAAGGGGCCAGGTAGACCAACAGGGACCACCGCCTACGTCCTTCTTCATGAAGCGGCCAGGTAGACCAACAGGAGCCACCGCCTACGTCCTTCTTCGTGAAGCGACCAGGTAGACCAACAGGAGCCACCGCCTACGTCCTTCTTCGTGAAGCGGCCAGGTAGACCAACAAGGACCACCGCCTACGTCCTTCTTCATGAAGCGGCCAGATGATCGAACCACTAATCTTTGGCTGTTCCGGCAGATGCGCCTTCCTACCGTGGCTGTCTTACACGCTGTATATTTTGTAAATATAATTATTGCCGACAGTAGTCAATTCAAAACCAAATTTCAAGTCAAATTATATGTATTGATAACATTGATACAAGAACAAATAATTGATAAGGTCAGTATGAGATTCAGATATTTGACGATTACGTTTCTTTTGTTTGTTTGTTGTTTAACGCAGCACTAGTCCAGCTATATGGCGGCGGTCTGTAAATAGTCGAGTCTGGGCCAGACAGTCCAGTGATCAACAGCATGAACATCGACCTACGCAACTGGGATACAATGACATGTCAGCGAACCTGTCCACCCGATCCCGTTACGATAAGCATGGGTTGCTGAAGACCAGTTCTAACCCGGATCTGTAAGGGAATTTGGCGAATGAGAGAGGCAGAGGAGTACGGTTGGTGTGTTGGGGATTTGGTTTGGTCTTTTATCGAAGAAACACACTTCTATGCTATGATATGTCATTTCAAAACCATAAAAACACAATAATTATACATATTTTGAAAGACTTGCATTCAATCTCCGTATGTGTCATATCTACTGATTATAGGACAAATTGGAACTGCAGAGAACTGTTTGTTTATTTTGAGATTTTGAATCTCTACTGGGCTTCGTAATGTCTGGGGAACAGATTTCCTGTCAATAAGTGATACTTTATGAATATCAATAATTGATGCTTTCACCAGCCGCGAGCGCTTAAATAATATGGTCGATCAATATTTCATGTTACAAATATTAGTTTCATGAATGTCAACTTATTCTTTTATCTCCAAGCGCTTGACCAAACCCCATACACCAAGTAACTTTGACGCCACTCTGTTTCCCCTAAACAATTGCTAATACCGTGCGGTTGTATACGTTAATAGCCCGTGTTCAAATAACAACCTGACCGCGATTGTAGATCAGCAGCTGAAATGAGTGTTTATTAACGACAGCATTATACAATAGTGCATCCAGGTCACAATGACAATTTAGAAATTCTTACCCCGACAAATAAGTGCAGTAAAACAACAACATATGGTGCTGAACAAGGTAGGTCTGGTACAGAGGAAACTTAAATAGATAGTATAGGCAATACAAATAGTTAAGCCTTATTCTTTAGCCCCAAAACATATAAAACCCCATGTTTACTGTTACTATCAAATGGAATAGTATATCCTACATTGCGCGTGTCAAAAGTTGTTTTTGTTTGTGGTTGAAATCAGACCTGGGTGTGGCAGGGCTAAAAAAGACACCGAGAAAAGATCGTCCCATTACATTAACTGCACTACGCAATAGATTCCAGTCTACTTCCTGTTCTTCCAGTCCCGGCATGGTTCCCTGCCAACTAGAAACATACCTGAAATTGTAACGTTCTAGCCTATTTTGTCGAATCACCGACCTGAAGAGGAACAGTGGACATCGGAAACCCAGAATTAAACCCCGTCATATCTTCTAGGGAAGGTGTTGTGAGGATTTTAGGCCGTTTACATCGTCAATACACAATAGAAAATAGCTTTTCACTCATGATAAATCAAACCAGGTTCTTCGGCGTTGTCAGACAACTTTCAACGATTCAGTTCCACCGCATGCAGGCTACCATGAAGGCCCTGGCTGTGATTGGTCTCCAGCAATCCAGGTTTGTCTCACAGGATCGGGTGGTCAACCTTGCTAACCGGGTACATGCAACCAAAATTGTGTAGATCGATGCTCATGATATCATTCACTACATTGTCTGGTTCAGACTCAGTTGTTTACAGACTCCCAGCATATTGTTGGGTTCGGCGTTAAATAATAAACAAACAATATTAAGAGGAGCGTTAACTGTCAGGATTGAGGCGAACCGTAGTGGCCCTTGAGGCTTGCATGCAATTCCCCCCGACATGACATACATCCAGCAGACGAATAATTCTAGGAAATACAGGGTCGTGTGTTGTCAAGGGACACGAGGTCCCTGGACAAGCTAAAGCTTTCAGTACGTATGTCCAATGCACATGTGATCATGGTCGTCGCCATTCATGGACGTCTTTGTAAAACGGAACAATATTTGACGCTTCAATCTCACGGGCACATTACCGTCACGTGGTGTAAAAGCCCTAAAACTGGCATGGACGCCTTTGTTAGACCGCATGTGGACGTGGTATGTCACAACACTGAACCTTATAAGGCCTGAACGTCCGTCTGTACAAAGTACATGTACTAGTTATGATTGCTCCAGTGCAGGTAACCCCGCCTTTGGTCAGCAGTCAACATATATGAAATATATTAGCATGGTCAACATATATGAAATATATTATCATGAAAGTATTTATATTAATATATTTTTGACCGTGTTTGGGATAAGAACGCCTGAAAAGACTAACAACAATTAAACAGAGATGAACCGGTAAAATGGGAATCCACGAGCGTGTGAAGGCGGATGCTGTTTACTGTGTTGGGCCAAGTTGCCTAAGTTCCAACATTCACAGTATAAGCCGTCACGGATACAGAGACTGCCTGCAGGATACACGTGTGACGACAAAATACGACCTCAATTTGAGTTTACAGTCGAGCACCGTCCAAATACCAGTAGATGATATTGCAGGCAACGTCCGACGTCAAGGGCGGCAAGATGGAACACAATCGCCGTGACGTAATCAACTCGGGCACCGCGCATGACCACCCCACGTGACCACATCATCATATGATGTAAGGAAACGACAAAATGTGAGGACAAGGATCATGTGATAAGCATCTAGACATAGAACACTGAGTATATGATTTACATCCAAACACTGTGAGAATAGAGATCACGTGACACACGTCCTTGCTGTGGGGAACAGTGATCACCTGGTGAACGTCTTGACTATGTCAGAATAGTGATCACATGATACGTGTCTGGACAGAGAACAATGATCACGTGATACACATCTAGACCGAGAACAGTGATAACATGGAGAACAGTTACCCTGCGTGATCACGTGATCCAGATCATATTAGGACAGACCCGCTCGAAAGTTTCTAATTTCATGTCTGCCCTGCGAAAGAGCTGCAATAACGCTGAGGCGATGTTAAGCAATATTCACTCATTGACATCACTCGACAGACCAGAAGAAACAAATGTACAATATTCACTCATTGACATCAATCGACAGCTCAGAAGAAACAAATGTACAATATTCACTCATTGACATCACTCGACAGACCAGAAGAAACAAATGTACAATATTCACTCATCGACATCAATCGACAGACCAGAAGAAACAAATGTACAATATTCACTCATTGACATCACTCGACAGACCAAAAGATACAAATGCACAATATTCACTCATTGACATCACTCGACAGACCAGAAGAAACAAATGTACAATATTCACTCATTGACATCACTCGATAGACCAAAAGAAACAAATGTACAATATTCACTCATTGACATCACTCGATAGACCAGAAGAAACAAATGTACAATATTCACTCATTGACATCACTCGATAGACCAGAAGAAACAAATGTACTATATTGACTCATTGACATCACTCGACAGACCAGAGGAAACAAATGTACAATAGTTTAAGACCTCCCATTAAGCATATCATGCTGTAATTCGTCATACAATAAAACTCCCATGAAACAAATGTCAGCCTGTGGTGCAGTCGACTCCAACATTCAGATGACATAGATGTAAACGCTACTGTAGTTGCTCACTATCTAAATATTCTAACTGTAGAACTGGGTCGTAAACACATATTCACACAAATTATCCATTTGATACACCGTCGGTAGTTAAACACAAACAGCGGTAGTAACAGTAGTTGCTGTAACAACGCGGGGTTAGCGTGTCATGTCGCAAATAAATAATATTTTATTTGTACTTACAAGTTCTACGGATCCAAAAACCTCAGAATGTGACTCCATACGAAGAACCATGAACATGTCCACCGATAATCCTCAGCCAAAAACCATTGAGCGGAACTGATGCACTCCAACTGGTCCACACTCGTTAAATAACAGCCACCGTTCAGTTTTGATAGTCAAGATTATGTTAAAAGCGCTGACGACAAAACCTAAAAGCTACATCTGTAATTAACGATCTATCAAAGTTGAGGGAGTTTTTTACGATCAAAACCTATCATGGTTTCAAAGTTTGAAATCCACCAAACCCATCAGAATCACAATATGTCCCGTCTTCGTCCACAGGGGCGTTACGTATTCTAGTGAAACAAGTCAATGATCATGTTAGGACTAAGTTTAGTATTCCACGAGACGACAGCTTCCTGACTTGTGCCATTCACCACAACCGACATCGGCAGAGATTGGGGGTCATCGACGGTAACACACTGAACTCCACCGACACACAGCGACCAGCTGGCTGAGCGTTTGATCAGCACTGATCGATCTGAATGTCCGGGTTGGAGTATGCGTGCGGGGCGGAAGCTCCATAGTGTCAAAACGGAACAACTAAAGGTGTTGGAATAATATTACCTGACACGTCGACGGCGAGGTGTGTCCGTGTGGAGTCGGTGTTGATCACTATCGGTGCACTATGGAGCTGCTGATTGTGACGGATGATGCAAACAGCTTACATTTTAAACTTCCCTTTATATGACGGGCTATTGGCATCTGGATTTCCTAGTGGTGGGAAGCTTAACACTTCTGGGTTGAACATGTTTCTCATGTATATATATATATATATATATATATATATATATATATATATATATATATATATTGCGTGAAGCACGTGCATCCGAGTTAGCCATGGTATAAACGTCTGTTTGGACCAAACTTTTAACATCGCCCTTCTATTCAGGCGGAGCTTAATTAATGCTCATGTGCGTGTGTGTGTACATATATATGCATATATATATATACACACACACACACAAACACACTACACATATATATATATATATGTGTGTGTGTATATATATATATATATATATATATATATATATATATATATATATATATATACACACACACACATGGTATCTAAATATAATTCGTTAATGAAAAAGGAGAAAAGTAAAGGACTTAAGATACACCCTTGACGCAGACCGACAGGACAATCCATGACTTTACATTGGAATACATCGATCTTATGATACCATACATTTTACCTCTCAAACCTATATTTCTTAAGCATTTCCACATTCTACCTCTATCTACAGAATCAAACGCCTTTTTGAAATCTACAAAAGCTACATACAACTTTCGCTTGCTAAAGGATAAATATCTCTCAATAATAGCATACAAGGTAAATATATGATCAAATGTTGAGTAGTCCTTTCTAAATCCAGCTTGAGGTTCCGGTATCAAATCTCTCATATTCGACCATTGTGTTAACCTACTGTTGATAATAGTTGTAAAAGTTTTACCTAGAATACTAGTCAGAGAACGACCTTTATCAAATACTCGATTGAACATTTTAACCAGGAAGGGCATAATGTCAGGTTATGAGTATTTCAGCATTTCTGAAGTAACACCATCAACTCCAGCAGATTTACCAACTTTAAGACGAGACACAGCATCCAGTATATCATATTCCGTAATAGGTGATTCCAGCACAGGCCTATCAACATCATTAAACTCTTCACTTAGCACATCGCTGTCACAATCTGATAACCAATTGTCAGCATCGTAAGCAATATCTTCCTTGGAAAAGAGATTCTTAAAATGACATAACTATTCCGTTTGCGATATATTTACTATGGGGGTAGAGCGACTTTGCAGAGAACGTATATTTTTCCAAAATAGTTTCGGGCTGTTTAGGGAGATATTAAGTCGCTCAAGTCTTGACGATTGGATATCATATTTGAACTTTCTGCAAGAAGATATATAAATGTTTCTAAGTCTGCAGTAACCTTTACGATTATATTCACTGCGACATCGTCTAAATTTTCTTAGGGCTTTCCTGCTTTCTGTCCTCGCTTGTCTACAAGCTGTAGTAATGGGATGATGGTTGAATGAATTACAGATGACATGGGCGTGGGAAGGCATGAGGCGGTGACCAACGGAGTTAACGGTAGGATGGCTCAGGAAACATGTTTTAAGATCAAGATTAAATCTGACTATTATTTAATGTCTGGACTGTGTGAGAACAATGATTACGTGATACACGTCTAGACTACATGTACGTGACAACAGCGTGATATATGTCTAGACTAGTTAGTGTCGGCCATTGTCAGGAATAAAGAAATTAACAATATCTTCTGTCACAACAGTTGGTCGTGTCATGTCGCAAACAGATAAATAATATTTGGTTTAAACATATTTTAATTTCAAAAGAATAGAACAAAAGCAAAACTTGCTTATGAAAATACATATCCAGGTAATAAGCTGACACAGCTGGTAATGTATTTTACAAGATAGTGCTAAACATAACAGACATTTGCACAAACGGAATATATACAGTCAGTATTTAAGAGTCAGTGGTGTCTGTGGAAAAGTACGACAATACAGTTATCCTTTCTATGTGAATTTAAAATTGCTCAGATCTTTTGCTTTTTAACGATAAAGTCGTGAACTGATTGAAGGATTTTCATGTTTGTGGAACTGCTGAACGCTGGCCATAAAGTATTGATGTCAAGTCATACCCATGTATGTAAAAGTACATAGTCGTTCTGATATTATCGTATTTGTGGCAGAAAAAGTGAGTTGTATCCTCAAATGGATACCCACCCACAAGTGCAGTATGGGGTTTCTGATACATGGCGCCGAAACGGATCAACATTTAGGTCGCTGCAGCCGAGTCTGAGGCGACATTGCACAATATGGCAGAATCTAGAACCACAATTCAAGTCCAGGTTATTGGTAATTCTATCAGAACGATTTATTAATAATTAAATTATTTTAATGAGTGCGTTTGGTTACTTCATCTTGCAGGTAGATTATTCCACAAGTTGATCGTGTTCGGAGGAAAATATCTGGCATAAGACTGGGTTCTATATTTGACTGTCTGTAAGTTGGATCTATTTGTAAGATTATATTTGTTACTTTCAGAGACTTGAGGTGGTATAAGTTTGTTGAGATATTCAGGTGAAATACCGTATTTTATAAAATGTAATCGATTTGAAGCGTTGTCTTCGTTCTTACAGAGGTTGAGAATTTGTTTCGTTATATATTTTGGCATGACTAGTAACACGAACTGCCCCATAGATAGTTCTCAGGGCGTCCAAATGCAAATTCTGGAGTAGTTATGACTGTTCGTTGGTACGGTTGTCCCTGATATGACAACAGTAGTCGGAATTAGGTGGGATAAAAGACACATACATAGTATCAAGCGTATTTCAGGTAAGTCTTGAAGCTCCTAAAGCAGTCGATCATTGGAATCAGTTTCCTAATAACTTCGTTGATATGTATTTTCCATGAGCAATCACTTTGAAGTGTAATTCCTAGATGTTTATGGCTGTGCACTTCATTTATAAGCGTACCCTCCATGTATAAATCATATTTTGCTTGTACATAGAAGTTGCAGGGCTGCCCACACTTCTAAATGGAACTCCTAGGGTAATCTTCAATGAAATGACAGTTGGAGGAATTGATGTCCTTCGACAATAAGCACAAATACTCGCTTAGCATCGGAGTAAATTGATGAAAGGATGAGCTAGGCAGCTGATGGGAGGAGGTGAAAGAACTTCACCCCTAAACAAAATCGTGCTCCATGGTGAAGATTAGTGTTCTGAATCGGAAACCAAATCGACTATCGATTATCGGAGGACTTGTGGTGAACGATTATCGATTATAATCGAAATATATAAATTTTTAATGTAATCACCAATTTTAAGCGTTTTCCCCAAGGGAATTTCTAATTAATGGGTTTTTTCAATAACTAATACTGTCATGCAATGAAATGCACGCATGCAAGAAAGATACTGGAATTGTAATTAAACCATAAAAGTGGTTAAATTGTTACAATGCTTACTGTCATCTTTTCATTGGTTGATTATTATATTCTATATCATTAAATATAACAATATATACCATCATTCATGAGTATCCTGAGTCTATGAATACAATGTGCATAGCTTTACGGTGTTGAACGCATGTTTGTTCGTGAATGTTCGTCAATTTTAATGGTTAGTTTACTTCATTTAGGTGTGTTTTACTGAAACAACAAAATTCCGATTAATCGAAAATATGTTTTTTTACAATCGATAATTATGTTTAATCCTTCTTTCAATCGATTTCCGATTATTTTCGATCTTCGGAACACCACCAGTGAAGATGTCGATCTGTTCCGGGATAATTGCTACCTTCGGGCGGCAGTCGAACTTTTTTTGTCTATATTACATTTGATATTTTTCCCAGATAAAATAAACGTGTAATCGGATAAATACGGCTTAATAATCCTGTCAGGGTTTTTTCGTCATTTAATTGAATATATGAGGAAAAACACAGACACAGACTATTTTCAACCCGTTACCAGGACTTATAACCTACATCCTCATCAGCTGCACATGGAGGACGGAAATCGATACATACAATCTGCTTCCTGGTGAACCGATGTGAAATTGACTTCCTCGTGCCTAACTGCCCGTTCTCCACTAGTCCATCATTATACCACTCACAGTTTTCTAAGGATACCTATTTAAGACGTAATGCGTCAACTTATGTGCATCTGTTGAAATATGACATTTGCGTGAAAACCTTATAAATGAAAAAGATGACCGTTGTCATAGGCCACACAAAGACAACGAAAACAATCTGAGTAATAATCAGTGAGATCCCCTGTCAAAATATGACGAGAATTTGACTAAGAAATCAGATTTCAAATTCACCTTGAAACTTTGATGTCTAGACAATATCTTGTTTGTTTCTTGACAGGTACAACCGACCGGTTCTGGTCTGACATATTGGCGTGAACGTCATCTTAATGCAAACGGACCTGCCTGTGTTGCAATGTCTGTAGGGTGTGACCAGAGACCAGTGACTTTGTTCTAAGTTTCCTCTGTTCACCCAGCAGTGAATATAAGTACACATGTAATTATAGTAACCCGTGTGCCCGCTGGGTGTATGCAAGCTATCGGTCACCTCCATGTCGCTGGGTAGCTGATCCAAACGTCCGGTATAGATTTCATGATCTGCTGATCACACTTTGGCTGACACCGTGGACGTTTGCAACGTTTGACGCTGTGTTGACCCAATTTCTAGCGTGCCAGGTTTCGGAAATGGGGCGCTGATGGGGACTTCAGTTGCATTCAGTTGATGCAATTCTCAGAAGCAAATGTTGTACTCACTGAAAATTATGTGCACCGATCATTTCATGATCAGGATACATGGAAACACAAGTTTTCGAGTACATGTACCTCGAGGTCTATACTGTATTTGATAACTGTAATAATGAGATCCACAAGGCCATTGTGACTTTCAACTAAAATC